GATGATCTGTTTTGCATATAGATCGAAAAGGGTTAGCTTTTACCAAAAGTCCTGTGCAGGCCAGGAAAGCTGTGGAGAGAGGGACTTGAGGAGAAGCCTGGGGAGAGGGAGGGGCACTAGGGGGCGGAGGGAGATCTATGGAGGGGCGGGGCTCTGGGTGGGCGGAGAGAGGCATGAGTAGGGGGCGAGGCTCTGGGAGGGTGTGGGCTCTGTCGGCGGAGGGGGCGGGGCTCCTGCGGGGCGGGGCGAGGCCAGCGGAGGGGGCGTGAGGGGGCGTGGAACTGCTGGTGGGTGGGGACACAGGCTCCCGGGTCATTGGGGAAACCTTGGGGCGGGCTTGGGGAGGGCCCTAGGGGCCCCTGAAGTCTGCGAGACCCGAAGTCCAGAGCACCCACTCGGTGCAGTCTAATTCTGCTGGTTGTACGCGGTCCGCCGTCCTGCCGGTGCTTGCCAGCATGTCCTTCATCCCGGTGGCAGAGAATTCCGACTTCCCCATCCACAACCTGCCTTATGGCGTCTTTTCCACCAAAAGTAATGTGAGCTGCTGCGCTTCGGCTTTTCCGCTCGCGGAGGGCGGGCACCCATCCGGGCTATGGTCCCTGCTATGCCTTCCCCCTCTTCTGTCCTTTGTTACCCCCTTTTTATCTCTCGGCAGCTCCCAACCCAGGCCTTCCGGCTGGGTGCCCGACGTAGGGCCCTCCTTTCCCTAGCTGGAACCCTTGAAGAGCCTTCCTAGGTGCCATTTGAGGATCTGTAACTCTCCTTCCCGTTCCTGCTGTTGGGCGTGGGGGAAGGGCGGGTGCGAGGAGGCTTAGTGGTATGACTCTCTTGATCGGCCATAGGTGGATAGAGCTAGAGAGGTCCACAGCCACTTTCTAGCTGTGCAAGTAATTTAACTTCTCAGTCTCCCTTTCTGTAGTGTTGTGTGAAAAGTCAATGCACATTATTCCTTGGAGGTAGTGCATTTGGATTCCAAATCACTGCAATTAAAGCAAATATTAAATGAGGGAGCTACATGATTTTTTGTATGTTTCCCAGTGTTTGTAAACATAAGAGCCATGCTTATTTTGCAGTCTACCAAATGAATAATAGCTGACCCTCCAGAAAGTTTTCAGAGGCTGTAAATCGTTAGGGAGGAGATTGGAACCACTTGCTTTATGGGTTCGCAGCAAAACTCCTTACCCACTAGGCCACCAGCATGATGAAAAGGCTTGAAATACTGGGAGACTTTCCAGAATGTGACACACAGGCAGGAAGTGAGGACATGCTGTTGGAAAAATTAATGCAGACCGTCTTCCTCGAAATAGGGTTGCCACAAACATCCAATTTGTAAAAGCAGAATATTTGTAAAGTGCAATTTGACAAAAAATGCTTGTATGCAAATCTCCTTCCCAGAGAAGCAGAGAAACCGGGTATTTTGTTAGGGAGAAAAGGAAATGTGCAGTCATGCTCCCTATTCCAAACCTGCCGGAGTGTGTTTCTTTTCCCAGAGACATCAGTTATGACTGACTCATCATCTGGAAGGTAGTTGTTGTTGTTAATTGCTGTCAAGTCAGAATCAACTCATGGCTGACAGTCCAGTGAGTTTTCAGAGGATGTCAGAGGATGTTTTCAGAGGAGGAGAGTAGTTTCCCAAGTGTCGAAAGGGATAGGGGCATCTCTCTCCTTGGAACAGCTGGTAGATTTGAACCATCTGCATTTGGGTTGGCAGTGCAACTCCTTACCAGTAGGCCACCAGATCTCCTTCTGCAAAAGGTTATTTTCCTGAAACTAGAGGAACTTTAATTAATTAATCCCACTATTATTAATCACATTTCCCAGTAGGTCAAGGATCTAAGATAATAAGCTTCTTTACCTCCACTTGGGATTCCTTCAAATGGGGGGAGGGGCTCACCAGCATTTTTTTTGCTGATCAATCGAATTGTTATAAATAATTCTTTAAAAAAAAACAACACAGAAAAGGGGTTTACTCTCCAATATTTAATAAGCAGGTTCTTGGAAAGCAAGTTCTGGAAGCAAGTTGAGGAAAGTGGTGTTGCTTTGGAATAATTGTTTGGCAGGAGTTTTTTTTTTAGTTTGGATTTTTGCGTGGATTGATGCACCTAACTGTAAAGATTGAAAAATAAACTTCTGAACCAGCTCTGTAAGGAGCTAGTTGTCGTCTAGTCAGTTCCCCTTAATGTGGCCTCATCAAGATAGAGTAGAATGTCAACAATGGCTGGTTCTTCGGGAGTAGATTTCCAGGCCTTGCTTTCAAGGTGCGTCTTGATGGACTCAACCTCCCACGTCTCAGTTAGAAGCTAAGCATGTTAATGGTATCACACAGGGACTCCCTGTAAACCTTCAGAATCTCCTTGCAGCCAACAACCATCAGAAAACCTTTGCTAAATGGTGCTCTTTCCCTTTCCCTTGTGACTTGGGCCCAGGCAACTGTTTTGTTTTTTTTTTTTTTGTTTTGTTTTTTTGTGTTTTTTTTTTGTGGTACGGCCTGTGGTCAGTGTCCCTGTTTGGAAGAGTCAGCTGGTGGTTTTACAATTGCCAGACCTAACCAGATGTTGCAGGGCCACCTCCCCAGCTACCAGCCCAGAGGTAAAAATCAAAACATGTTAAACCTTAACCAGAGTTAGCCAACTACTCTTCTGCAGACAGAGCCCTGTTTCCACACTCCTCTAACACTGCTCTCATTGGGGTGCTCTTACCTTCCTTCCCCGGGAGCACAGATTGCCTAGAAGGAAATGTGAATAAGAGACAGGCAGACCCCAGGAGGGTGCGCTACCGTAATTTCCCAGAAGAATCTGCAATTAATGCTCCTTAGTACAACTGAACTCTCTCTCAGTGCCCTCTGATAAGGGTGTTGAGAGAAGGGAGGCAATTCCTCAGCATCCCAGAAAGCTCAGGAATCAGAGGCCTTGTCTAAAAGGGACTAGAACATTCCAGGGGCAGTAGCTGCTTCTCTAAGCTGATCTATTGGCATGGCAAGCCTCCCCATTCACACCTGCCAATGCCAAACCACAGGAACTTTTTATAATTTGGGTAGAATAATGAATGACTCTAGCCATCTATTTCATTATCCTTTTATACAACAAATCTTTATAGACTCCATAACAAGTAAGATGTGTATAAAAGTAAAAGGGGAAGGAAAGGGGGGCAAGTGGAAGAAAATGGGGAGGAGGTGAAATCACTAGAACAGAGTTTCATGGGTGGATGGTGGGGATGAGGGAATTAGAAAAGATCCAATGGGGACCTGAAAAGGCAATATAATAATAGAACAATGGTGATTAAATTTCTAAAACACAATGTATACGAATGATTATATGAAACATAATGTGCATAAATGAATGTGTGAAACACAATGTACATGAAACACAGTGTTTACAAATTTTGTGTGTAAGCCAGTGTAAACTATATGTAAAAAAGAAAAAATCCTTATAGACTCCAGCGTTGAGTTATAGACCCAGAGTCTAACCCATATTAGGTCCTGATTAGCATAAAAATTTCTTAGAAATTTAGAGGCTTACCAGATAATTAGTAGCAACTAGGTTGCAGAGTCTGTTGGAAAGGTTTGTGGTGTTTTTTTGCTAGAATTTATGCTCCCAACTTTAAATTCCAGATTCAACTCTAACAAAGTCAGAATCCCAGACAGATACTAGGGATCAAAGAAATATGAAAGACCCTCGCTGGCTGTTAATTGCTTGTTCATGGACTGATGCTTTGTCGTAATGGCTAATATGACAAAGTCAGACTGTCATCTTTGCCAGGTCTTTTCTTCCTTGACTTCAGATCATCAATCTTTTGGTTAAGAGCCAAGCACTTAACCCTTGTGTACTCAGGGCTTGTTGCTCATGGCCCAGTTGTCAGGGGCAGTTAAGCTGACCCTGTGAACAGCAGATCTGCACTTTGCCCTATCCTGTGCCATTCTCACAGTCCCTGTCATTCTCAAGTCCATTGTGGCGGCTACTGGGTCAATCTATCTCATGGAGGGTCTTCTCTTTATATAATGCTTCACATTTCACAGCATGATGGCTAAGGATTGATGCCTACTGAGAATATACCCAAAGTAAATGAGGTGAAGTTACACCAGCCTTGCCTGTACAGAACCCTCTGGCTGTACTTTAAGACCATTGACCCTCCTTTCTTTTGGCAGTCTATGGAATATTCAATACTCTTTGCCAACACTATGATTCAAAGGCATCGATTCTTCCTTGGTTTTCTTTATTCATTGTCCAATTTTCAGATGCATACGGAACAATTAAAAAGACCATGATTTGAACCAGGCACACCCTGTTCAAGTCTTGAAACTGTTATCCTCATACTTTAGAACTTTGGAGAAGTCCTTGATAGTAGATTTCCCTGATGCAACACCTTTTTTTTCTTTACTGTCTACCAAGGATATTGATATTGTAATCAAAGCAAAGGAGATCATTGACAACTTCAATTTTCTCTCCTTCTATTATGACTTTGCCAGTAGTGAAGATTTTTGTTTTCTTGATATTGAGGTTTAACCATTATTGAAGGCTGTAGTCTCTGATTGCACTTCAAGTTTTCTTCACTTTCTGCAAGCAAGGTTGTCTCATCTGCTAATGCAGGTTGTTTATGAGTCTCCATACCTGATGCCACATTTGACTTCATATAGTCCAGTTTCTTGAATGATTATTCAGCATAGAGACTGAGTTAAGTATAGAGAAAGAGTCGAATCTGGTTTAACATACCTCTCCTGTTTGAAAACATGCAGTGTTCCCTTGTTTTGTTCAGACAGTTACTTCTTGCTCTATGTAGAGGTTTCTCACGAGCACAATAAAGTGTTTTCTGGAATGTCTGTTCTTCTCAATGTTAGCCATAATTTGTTATGATACACACAGTCAAATACCTTTGGACAATCAATAAAACACAAGTAAACAGCTTTCTCATTCTCTGCTTTCAGCCAAGATCCAACTGACATCACAATGATATCCCTTGTGCTATGGCCTCTTCTTAATCCAGCTTGAATTTCTGACAGTTTCCTGTCAATGATACTCAGCAAGATCTTACTTGAATGTGATATTAATGATATTACTTGATACTTCCACAATATGTTGGAGTACCATTTCTGGGAGTTGTTACACAGAGGGATTTCCAGTCAGTTGGCCAGGTATCCACAGATACTTTCTATATTTGTTGCCAGAAACTGGAGAGCATGTCAAGGGTTGCATTCATTTGCTGAAACACCTCAACTGGTAGTCGATCAATTACTGAAGCCTTATTTTTGCCAATGTCTTCCATGCAGCTTTAAGTTCTTCCTTCAGTACTAAAGGAAGCTCTGACCACATGCTGTTTTCTCAAATGGCTCACTGTAAACCAATTCTTTTGAGTACAATGACTCAGCATTCCTTCTATTTTATTTTGATGCTGTCTGTATTGTTTAAGATTTTGCCCATAGAGTTCTTCAGTGTTGAAGCTCAAAGCTTAAATTTGTTCTTCAGTTTTTTCAGTTTGGGAAATGTCAAGAATATTCTTCCCATTTGGTTTTCTAACTCCAGCTCCTTGCACATTTCTTTGT